GTGAGGTTAAACAAATCATTTAAGCCCAGCTTTGTATGTGTGGCCACCAATGGCATGTTCCCCATTTTAGATGTCTGTGACTTTAGTCTCTGTGGTCTGATTTGCAGAAGTCTGAGCCCTGCTGCAACCAGAGTCAATGGACTGAATCATTTACATAACTGAAGTCCTTCATAATGCTAAGCACTCTTAAAAGTGATGTTGGGGGTGGGACAGGTGTCTCAAACTGAACATCTCCAGTGGATACTTACTGTAATGGCTCAGTGCTCAGTCTCTTTCCCTGTAAAATAAAGGTAATAATACTTCTTCACAACAGGGTGTTGTGCAAATTAATTACTTACCATTTGTAAAATACTTAGTTATCACAGTGATAAAGAAAATAAATTATATTCACAGAGTGCAGTCTATAGATCTGCACCCTGAACAAAGACAAAACAACACTAGTGCTCAGTCTGTTCATATGTTGTGTAATATCCTTTACTCTATAAGAAGCAATTATCCTGGCACTCTTAATTTACCTCAATAGTGTAGTAAAAAAAGGGCAAGTAATGTGATCTTAAAAGTGCTCAGACACACTAAAAAAATGCCAGAGTAATAAATAAATAAATAAATAAATAAAGTGCCATATTACCATTCGGGAGTGTACTAGGGTACCACTGGTTATTTGTTCTGTATTTCCCTCATACACTAATTGCCATTGTCATTCAGCATTTATGAAGGTAAAATTTAATTTAGTATAATTTCTTGTGGTGCAAAGTCAATGTGAAGTAAGAGTCACGCATTCTTATATATTGTTTTTTTAGCTCTATGAATAAACATTCTGTATGCAGGATTGTGCTCTTAATGATACTGATACAAACCTTCCACTTCCCACAACTGCACATTGTACTGTAGAGATGTGTGATTTGTTGAGATGCTCCTGTGTATTGTTGATATATTTGAACTGATGAAATTCTTCTTTGAATTACTGTTTTATTTCTGATTGTGTTTTTCTACTGTTCCTATTTCTTTTGCTGGTTTCCCAACCCAATCTACCTTAGTTTCTTTTCAGAAATCCTTGGGAAAGTATTTTGAAGTTCTTCTCAACATATTTTTCTTTCTGAGAAGAGTACTGCCAAAATGAATTTTGTAAGTACTAAATTGATAGACTGTATCAGTACACCAATAAAGCAATGAATTTGAAAGTCCCAGCTCTTTGGGGCTGCTCCTCCAAACGTCCTAATCTCAGGAGTGATTAGCTGAAGAGATGTTTCTGACAGCAGAGTTCACTGTCAAAGCACACTGTTTACTGGGTTTGCACTCTCCTACAGTAACTACAGGTTTGGTGACTGTGGTGCAGGCAACTGTGTCTCAGGCTACTCATCCTGGATTGCCTGTCTAGCTGAATGTAGAGAAGTGATCATTTTGGGGCTTGATTTAGTCAAGCTACGTTAGTATGAAATATGTAACATGCTAGAAAGGCCTGTTCCCCTCCCTTGATGGTAAAGGAAGTCTAGACCTCTACTTCAAATTCACACTTTTACACTGTAGAGTCTTCTGTGACAGCAGAACTAATCCTTTCTGCATAATGTATTTAGAGAAGGAAACCTTTGGGCCATCCAAAAGTTATCTCCATGTTCATATTTAAATTAAGATTTTATGAAATTCCTTAGTTAATTCTTACAAGCCTCCTCTGCAGTCTTAAATGCATTTGTAATCAGGGTGTGTGGTCAGTGGAAACACTGTAAAACATGTAGCATTGGAGGAAACAACAGTGACGGGAACTATCTTGAGATGAGTTTGATACAGGCTTGAAGCTGAGGTGTGCTAAGAACTGGACAGAAGTATAACAGTTATCATAAAGAAAATGTCACTTCCATTTTAAATCAGCAAGCCATATAATACTTGTATACTAATTTCTGAAAGATTTCCAAAGTACCATGTATTTGTATGACTTTATTATCTATCATCTTTCTACTATATAGAAATTAGAGATCAACACCTATGTGTTAACTGGTGATTTTCTTTTTTACAGACAGAGCCTTGTACCACAGATGATCTGTATTATTCAGATTATGCTTCTCTAATCACACAACCTTGTTCTAAGTTGGAAGTCAGGAACTTCACAAAAGCATTTCTTCCAGTTGTGTATTCGTTGATTTGTGTCATCGGCCTCGTTGGTAACATCTTTGTAGTGATGACCTTTGCTTTCTACGAAAGAACCAAGTCCATGACAGATGTGTACCTCTTCAACATGGCCATAGCAGACATACTGTTTGTTCTCACTCTCCCACTGTGGGCAGTGAATTATGCTACTGATGAATGGATTTTTGGTGATTTCATTTGCAAAATGAGCAGAGGTATCTATGCAATCAATTTCAGCTGTGGAATGCTGCTTTTGGCCTTTATCAGCGTGGACCGGTACATTGCTATCGTACAGGCGACAAAGTCATTTAAACTCAGGGCAAGAACACTTGCATACAGTAAACTCATTTGTTTGGTCGTCTGGGTATCATCAATTTTAATCTCTAGTTCCTCTTTTCTATACAGTGAAAGTTACAGCTTCCCCATCAATGAAACCAAAGAGATTTGTGATCAGAGATTTGACAGAATGTCTCAAAGCACAATGCTGAAATCACTGCTGCTGTATATACAAGTCGGATTTGGATTTTTTATACCTTTCATATTCATGATTTTTTGCTATGCGTTCATTGTCAAATCCTTACAACAAGCTCAGAATTCCAAAAGAAACAAAGCAATCCGTGTGATCGTATTAATTGTAGCTGTTTTCCTAGTTTGCCAGGTACCTTATAATGTTGTTCTTCTTGTGATAGCCATAAATATGGGCAAGACAGGCAAATCTTGTGACAGTGACAAGATAATGGCCTATGTGAAATACACCACTGAAGCCATAGCATTTTTACACTGTTGCATGAATCCTGTGCTCTATGCATTTATTGGAGTGAAGTTCAGAAGTTATTTTGTGAAGGTAATGAAGGACCTATGGTGCATGAGATACAAGAAATACAATAAACGTAGTTCAAGGACAAACTCTGATGTTTGTCATTCAAGACAGACTAGTGAAATTCTGACTGACAATGGATCTTCTTTTACTATATAGTACAATTTGGACAACATTATTACTGAAGTATTCTTCTCACTGAGCAACCCAAACCAGTGTCACTGTGCCTGTGACAGCAAGTCCTTTGGGCTTCTCTGCACCTCTAAGGGAGATCCCACAATCTACAACTCTTTTCAGGAAAAAAAATTAAGATAAAAGAATAACACTGTCCTGTAGAAAACTGAAATCTTATTCACCTCTCTTAACATCCAAGCTCTTCTAAAGTGCAGTCTCAGAATTATTAGGAAAGAGAAGTTTACAGTGGAGCCCTCCTTGTTTCCTACGGAAAAATTGCATCTCATCTGTCCTACATCACTGAAATATCCCAAAACTATTAAGCAAATGAATCAGATTATGTCCAACCTCATTCTACTTACATTTATGCTGTTTCTGTTAATTACTTCTACCTGGAAATCCTATTTAAGCGTAGGTTTCCACTGTGCTTTTGTTGCAGACGGGTCATATTGTCACAATACTCATCTAAAAAGATGGCATTTTGAGCAAAGCATGGCAAGGAAAGCAAACAGATAAATGAGGGAACAGACTCAAGGCTGCTGACATAGCTGGGCTTAGGTGTTAGGTCTTGTAAACCTTTGCCCAGTTCTACACTCCACCTGCTTATCATCCACTAGCTTACACCAAGGCTGAGGATGGTCTAAGCCAACAGTGATGTGTCTACTAAAGAGAATATTAGAAAAAAAGAAAATTATTAATTAAAGAGAACACCGAGATATCCATAGAAAGGTTTTCTGACATCTCCCGATGATCTTCTGAACAGAGAATGGAGCTTTGCTTTAGAGATTCTTCTCTTCATTTGGCACAGGATTCAGGTGCTGGAATCCATCAAAGCTGACAATCTAGTGAATGTCTCTTTGTGAAAAATTGTTTATTTCTAGCTGAAATTCACACTCCACTTCTAAAAAGTGGAGTGTGATTTTTTTCTAATAACTACAGAACTGCAGTTATTCCAACACATTTTGTTGGAACTTGATCAGTGACAAAACATGATGCATTTCTTGGTATTTAGCTACCATTAGCGAAGTTTCCTTAGGAATGTATTTACTAGCACAAATAGACATAAATGAAATTTATTTTATTAGCTTCAGAAATTATTAAGGACTACATCTAAAAATAAGACCAGAATCTGACTTAATTCAGCCAGAATATTGACTGAGTCAGCATTTGACTCACTATGAATATAGGAATATTTATAATAAATGCAATTAGTTTTACCCAGACGTGACTTTTCAGCAAATCCTCGGTGGATCTTCTGCTCATTGAAGGAGCTTCACTGCACTGTAGCAGTCATGGTGGGATGGTGAGGCAGACAGGAGCTGGAAAGCAGAGGGGCAGGATGGAGGACAGAAGAGGAGCATTACTGTTTGCAGTCTGCTGAAGTACCTACCAGTCCTCTGCAGTTCTGCTGCAATGGGAGCACAAGCCATGACGGTGTCTGGATGTGCTGTTGTGTGGGATGTTACACTCCTAAGACGGTGTAAATTAATGCAATTTGCAGCTTGCTGTTTACCTTGGTTGGTGGGTTTTTTTAAGTTCATGGCTGAAGAGGCAGTGTAGACTGGATCACTAACCACATCGTTCAGTGGCAATGCAAAGGGCCAAGAAGGACAGTGCTGGAGCTGAAGATCCCTTGAGGAAGGGCATTGATATGGCACAATGTGAAACTAGTACTGACTTGGCTGGTGCAATCCATCTTTGTTTACACTGCACTGTGAGGTTTTTAAATATCAATGCCAGGTGTGATAAAGATTGCGTGTATTTACCATGACTGAATAGCAACTTAGGCAAGAATAGGATACAAACTTATGTAAACGCAGATGTGTGTATTTGATGTATGTGGCACTGATGATTTTCTGGAACAAATAAAAAAATGTAACTGAAAAGGGAAAAATCCCCTCAGATCTAGGAATTTCTTGCTACGTGTATTGCCTTGAAACATTCTCTTATTCAGCGCAAAATTTCTTGTGTCCCAATGATGTGGCGTCTCTCCCTCAGAGGCTGCATAAGGCAGCGTGCCTTAGGGTGGAAAGTCTGTGACTGAAGCCCACTAAGAGCCGTGGCGGCTCTTGGGCAGAGCCCCACAAGGCTTGAAGAAAGCATACCTCCTCCCTCCTCCCGGCCTTGCTGTCACGCCTGCATTGGCCTTCGGCCACTGAATAACCCAAACGCTGCCCCAGTGGCCATTGGGGTGCGGTTGAGGATCAAGATGGTGGCCAAGGGGCCATCTCTGACCCTGTCACTCTCACCGTCCCACTGGAGGGGTCTCACTGACAGACCCCGGCCAGAGAGGGAGGGCCTCGGCGCAGGGCTAGCGAGCCATAAATGTGGTGAATCGGCTCCTGGCTGAAGGGGCACCCTGCCTCAGGGGTGAGGGAGGAGGGGGAAGAGGGCAAAGCTCGATCCTGCAGGCCAGGGCCCTCCAAAGGGAGTGGGGCCTACTGGGCTGCCTTGTGGGTCACCAGCCCCAGGTAACCATGAGGGACCCTGGCGAGTGGTGGTGGGACGGGTTGCCTCACATGGGAGGCAACACAGCCTGTTGGTTGTTGTCTGGTGGGAAGGAAAAACGCTCACCGGAAATGCTGTTGAAAAGTAGAAAACATACCCAGCTGTTCCCTGATCTCATGGGTGAGAAGTGTTGCTAGGGGAAGGGGAACATGGTGAACATGTGGGACTACAACGGTGCTTGGGGTATGAATTGTACTGATGCCAAGGCTTTGCCAAAATTCCCACTTGAGGTACAGCTGAAATCTCAATTGCCGTGAATGGTTGCTCTGACTCTGGCAGAAATGGGGGTGAGGGGTAGGATGAGCTCTCAAGGGGCTTCTGAGCAGGTAGAACTGGAGCTCCAACCCATGGGGCGCTGGCTTTCTTACTCAAAGTTTGAGGGCAACTAAAGAACAGAAGTATGGGTAATTAAAAATTTAATTTACATGCAATACCTTCTTACCATTTTTTGTGAAATCTACTCCAAGGTAAAACAGCAAGACCAGTTCAGAGATAAAGCAGCAGAGGAGGAGAACCCCACTGCCCAATGTTCAGCAGCGGGCAGCCGTAGAGGCAGGTTGGCTAGCAGATGTTGCTGATGGACACTCAGGTATTCTGTCTTTCCTTCAGTGGCCATGTCAGCAGAACTGACAGGTGAGCTGGGGTTGGTGTTGGGAGTTTAGGGCATGAAAAGAGCACAGATTTATAGGAACCTGGGTGTTACTTTCACTGCTAATGGGGTAAATTTTCAGAGCTTGCTATGCATGCTCCTTTTTATTACTATTTTTATGTTGTAGTAGCTGTGCTGTACACTGCATAGCAAACACATAGTGAAATTTTCGTTTTTGTTGCATGTATTCTGTCTACTATATTTGAAAAAAAAGGACTTGGTTTTATATAGGGCCTTGTTTCCTACCTTATTTAAAGAGGGAAGGATACATACCAGGTTGCGTCATGTTGTACACACAGAAGATGCAGCTGATAAGTTTTGAGAAGACAATTCATATCTTCCTCCATCTGAGGGATGGGACTGGGTTGTGGTATTGCCTGCAAGTACAAGGGCTCTGCTTGTTAGTGGGTTCCATTTTGCGTTTGGTGGCTCCATGGCGGCCCTGCTTGGCACTTCCAGTTCAAGCATTTCAGAAGAACGTAAGTCATCAGTGCGCAGCATTAAATAAAGGCGTAATATCTCAGTGCAGACATCCTAAAGTTAAATCTGTTTTTTGACACATATCATCTTGAAAATGGACCTATTTTATTGTCTCCCTATGAAAAATGGCAGCTTTCTTCCCATAGTATTTAAATTTCCTGTGCTATCTTTTCTATTTAGATATTCATTTTCTTAAAAGAGTGAACACTATAAGCTGGTGAACCTGCAAGACAGTCACAGTAGACAGGGCAGATCAAACTCACCTGGGCCTTGCTACTGGCAAGGAAAGGCAGAGGAAAGGAAACAAAAATTATATGCAAAGGTAGATAACTGTTGGGTGGAAACTGAAGAGAAATGGGAAAAAACAGTCTAGAGAGGAACATTTTTGTGATGGAAGGTTTTTGATAAGTATTAAGTACATAACAGGTATTACTCTGATTTTATTATTTAGACCAAACTCTGCTTTGGATCTTTGTAGTCCAATCTTGTTGACTAGAATTGTGAAAATTTGGTGGGGAGGGAGTGTGTACTACAAAAGTAGCAAGAAGGTGGTACTTGAAGCTTTCAGAATTTGGATTACATTGGAAAAAATAGCTTTAGATTAAGTGAAAATGATAACGTTTTCAAAATGTCAAATCAGTTTGTCTCATGAAACATCTAAAATGTTTTGACATTTCTGGTTAGTTTTCAGATACTACAATAAAAGCCAAGGAAATGATTTCACAAAACCACCGAAAGAGGCTCATAATCTTGTTTTTTTTAGGCTGCTGCCAAGTAATCAGGGTATATCCTGTGGTCGGAGGTGGTACCTCCTAATACCGCCTGTGGGTTAGGAGCTCACATCGTCTTTGAAGAAGTCCATGCAAAGTAAAGTCCAAAGACAAAAGACCAGGAGGATGCTTCATCCTTAAATTGTACTACACCAATAGCTCGTACTTCTCTTCTGGGTGGTGTAGTTGCAGGTCCTTCAGGGTGAAGAGGGAATTAAGTGACGTCTCCCCTACCGTGTGTGAATGACATGAGAGCTGGTGGTAATGATGTGACCACTAAGCAAGGCGTTGTTCTCTGGGCAGCTTTGTGCATAGCTAAGTTCCTTTTATGACAAGTTCCTTAAACAAATTCTCCATTTTTGGTTGAATGAACTCCATTATCTAACCTGAGTTGAAAAGTGCCTGGACTTTATTTAGTCAAGAAAAAAAACCCTATTCATTAAAAAGTTACTTTGATGGTGAAAGTTCTTATCCATCCAGGATCCCTTTCCCTATAAGCTGAAAAACCTGTTGCTTGTACAATTTTCTAGCTGCTGTCTATAGTCGGTTTTCTTTGAATTGATGGTATAATATAACCC